CAATCCTGTGGAATAGACACAGAGAAAACAAAAAAGACTAAGGCTCTCTAGGAGGGAGATAGAGAATCGTAAGAAACAAAGTTAGACATAGGATTTTTTGTGCAAGTTCTGATATCTTTTTTAAGAGCAATGAGTTTATCAAATAATTCATAAGGAAAAGATGATTCACCAGTATCTTCAGAAACTGAAGAAGATTCTTGACTTGAAATAGGTTGTAAGATGACTTTTCTTGTCTTATCTCTCCTTGAATACCTCTTCAAGTTTAGTTTATCCAGTTGTCCAACATTTTCTTCTTTGAACAAGGTCTTCTAACATAGAATTATCCCCTTGAATTTGACTGTCAAGAGTCACTGAATTAGACATCACCTTTTCCATTTCACTCTCCCCCTGAAGAGGTGTCGGGGAAGTGTTGAAGTATGGTTATGATTCTTGAAACGTAACAATCTATAGTCACAAAGTATTTTCTAAATGGTAGGTGATAACACTTGTAACCATTTTGAGTAGGGGAATATCGAATAAATATACATCGGAGAGCTCTAAGTTCCAATTTACTCACATTTCTAGCATGAACAAAACAAACACTTTTGGGGGAACAGTATAGAAATTTGTACTTTGTAAAACTTTCAGAGGACTTCTGAAATCAAATACCCGTAAAGGTATTCTATTAATAAAGTAGGCTGTTGAGAGAACTGCATCTCCCCAATAACTCTTAGGCAGATTCATGGTGATCATTAGTGACTTAATTACCTCCAGTATGTATCTATTTTTCCTTTCAGCAACTTCATTCTGTTCACTGGTGTAGACACAACTTGTCTAGTGAATTATCTTATTGGACTCCAAATAAGTATGGAACCCACTATCCATATATTCTGTACCATTGTCAACTCTTAGGATCTTAACTTTGGCGTTAAATTGTATACATATCATTTTATGAAATAATTGAAAATAGAAAAATACATCATTTTTTACTTTCAACAAGTAAGTCCATGTTAATAGAGTACATCGATCAATGAAAGTAACAAATCATCGATGACCAGATGGAGAGATATTTTGAGTTGGTCCCCACATATCAGAGTAAATAGTCATAAAAAAAACATAATTTCTATTATTACTAAAACGATAAAAACTTCTTTTATGTTTAGCAAATTCAGATGCATCACAATATAAAGAATCCAAAAAAATTTTCTTAAATAAAGTAGGATAAAGTTGTTCTAAAGCAAAAAAAGGAAGGGTGCCCCAACCACTGTGCCATTGTAGTATTTCTAGATTGTCTGCCTTATTTTCAATAGTGGCTTGATTCTCAATTAGATTCTGATTTCTTTTCAAAATATATGAGTCATCCTGCAGTTTATCAGTGCCAATCATTTTTCCTGTTCGAAGATCCTGAAAGATACAATAATCAGGAAAAAATTCAATTTTACAGTTTAGTTCTTGAGTAATGACACTAATATATAAAAAACGATTAGAAAAAATAGACACATGTAAAACTGAAGACAGTGTAATAGTTGAGGTACAATTAATGGAATCTGTTCCAGAAACAGGAGTGAATGACTCATCTGCTAGACAGATATTTTTTTCTTTATTATAAGAAAAATAAGTTAGAAATTCAGTAAAAGATCCTGTTATGCGTCTGTTAACTTCAAAATCTATTACCCAAATATCACGAGTAGAAATAAGGGGGAGAGAAGGAATACTTGATTTTACCACATTTGATGTACCAATAGTCGTTCGTGCAATTTTCAACAAGTCTCCTTAGTGTGTCTCGGTTTGTCACAATAATCACAATAATCACAATTATGTTAGTCTTTGGAGTGATCAGACTAAGCAATTAAATCGGCTTTTTCAACTAGTGCTATGTGGAGCATGACATTCTCCTACTTTTTTTTTGTTGTTGAATATAAGAATAAGTCTGTTCTAATGAGGGAAGGGGATCCTTACCAAGTATCTGGACTCGTATATGATCATATTAGCCAAAACATCATAAATCCGCTCATTTTCTAGCATTTTCTGAAATGTGACAGCATCCTGGGGCAATATGTTTGAAAATCTTGATAGTAATCGAGCTCTTATCATAGTTTATTAAGTTCAGAAAAATACTGAGAGATAGTCAACACTCCTTATTTTGTGCTGGGGATTTTATTCCGGAGTTCATAAATTTGAGTATCATTATCCACTTATGAATATGTAAGGGATGCTACATTCCATATTTTTGCTATAGTATCGAACAACAGGTATGTTAGGGTAATGTGAAATTGCATGGAATTAATCAATCAAGACATTAACAAAGAGTTTTTGGAGTCCCATCTATGATATTCCAAACTACTAACATCTGGTTTCTTCTCATCACTGGTAATATAACCTTGCAATCTCCTGGCTTTAATAAACAGTAAATAAAATCTTCACCGACTAAGACAATTAGTTCTTTCAAGATTTATAGGACTTATTTGCAATAACGATTTGTCAGAATTAGGAAAAATTAGTTTCTTTGCTTCTATCATGTTTTAGTACTAGAAATACAAAAATAATACTGAATATCCAATATCACAGTGAGAGAATAAACCTCCTAAACACCAGCAAATCTAAAAAATTGCTGCAAGACCAGAAAAGATTACTAGAAACAAGTACTGAAGTGGGTGCTGGAATGGAGTAGCAGATGACAACAAAAAACCAGAGAGAAACAAAGACTGAATCAGAAGCTTGAAGCCGGAAAAACAGAGGTGCTGTTGCTAGAAACCCGGGATGTAGTAGCAGTCGTGCGTGAACCAAAAACTGCTCTGGGTGTGCGCGACAGAACAAGACACCGTGCACGAAGGAGCTGGAGGAGCAAAGCGAACCAGAGGCACTGGGTGTGCGCGACTGAGCCACAAAAACATGACGGAACAAAAAAAAACACGCAGGGTGTGCGCAATGGAACCAGACACCATGCGCGAAGAGATCAGAGAGGCAGCGAGAACTACAGGAGCCGGGTGTGTGCGATGGGACTAGAGGGTCGGGTCAGGTTGCGCGAACCAAAGCGGGAAACAGCGAAAACCAGAGGCCGTGCGCGAGGACACAACGCGAATAGCTTTGTGCGACCGGAGCAGATTGATCGGGTAGGTCGGAGATGATCACCAGAATAGGGCAGCATGCTGCCGGTGAGGCTGGGACTCCATTTGGGTGAGTGTTGAGAATATTCTAGGGTTTGAAAAAAACTATAAAATTAAAAAACTCTGAAATACCTTTATTTTGCTCTGATACTATATAGAAATTTTAAAGAAAATATTTACTATATTTTCTCAACATATTTGGTATAACAGACATCTCATATATGCAAAATTCTCAAGTACTAATAGGGAAATTACGCTTATAATAAGGATACTAAATAATTACAATATTATAGAAGAAATTAATAGTAAGAATTATATACGAAAAATATCACAAATATTTAGAAAACAAAATATTCATGTCAACAGTATATTCCTTTTTTGGTAGACCATATCGTGACACTTAGGTCATAAATCTGTGCAACATCTTTAACTTTAGAGTAGGTTTCATCAATTGCATCCCACATTGCTTTTGTTGTGGATAAAAACATTACGGTCTAGCTGATATGGAGTTGTAGACTACTAGAATTGTTCCATTATCATGGAATTATTAAACACCAAATGTAGGGTCTCCAGGTTTTGGTCCGGTACCAAGAAGATGGTTGAGCTTGCTCTTTCCTTTGAGGATGGCTTGAATTAATTGGGACCAACGAAGATAATCCTTTCCCATGAAGCGATAGTCTGTTTGGTGGTACTCCCCATGAAAGTGAGTTCAGTGTGTTTAGATGTTACATCTAACATCCTTTAAGAGTTTTCGGGTAATTACAATCAAATAAAAAATTACAAGAAAGATTTTACCAAGAGGACATGCGGCTATGTGTGTTTGGCCGAAGGAGCCGGAGCTATTGGGTGGACAGACAAAGCTCGCTATGCTGTGCAGACAGACTAGAGTTTGTCAGAGGAAGGGTTGTGTTGTGTGGTTAGACAAATGTGGCTTTGCTGGGAGTGGCAGGAGATATGACAACTCTCAAACAGATGCAGACAGGCGTGGCAAAACAGAGAGCGGCTGCTGGGCTGGATCGGCAGAGCGCATGGATGCGTGAGCAGCACACAGAGGAGCAGACTTGTCTTGTGTGCCACTGTAGCTAGATTTGTTTGGCTAGGTCTATGCATTTGCGCGACCGAGGGAGACTGTAGCTAAGGGATGTGTAGATGGTCGCATGTAGGGTTATGCATCTGGGCAAACTGCACAACTGAGAGCGACCTTGGCTTGGTTGTGCGCTTCTGGGTGAATTCCGCAACTAAGGGCTACTACAGTTGGGCTGCAGTTGAGGAGTTGGATCTGGCAATGAAGGCCGATCTTGGTGGAGATTGCTGGCTATGATGTCGGCTTGTGGTGGAGATGGCTGGTCTTTAGTAGCCAGGGGCGGCGAGGGTTGTGGTGACCAGCAATGAAGACTGGCCTCTTTTAGGATTTTTTTATTCAACAATAAAGACTGATTAGGCTTTGTAAAAGAAACTAAGATTTCTTAACCTAGGTCTTTGATACATGTTAAGAATGACTTTAACGTGTATTTTATTGAATATCATGATCTTATATATATATAGATTTGCTGATTTGGAAAAAGAATATACAATTAATTATATGAAGTGTATTTTACTCTTATACCCTAAAGCTAATTTACCATTTCTTTGACAACAACCAAACATATGTTTGCTGCCATTGTCAATTAGTGTAAAAAAAAGCCCCGGACCTTGATTCTCTGTCTTCTCTCTTGATTTTCCCTTTCAGATTCTTTTGGTGGTGGTGGCCATCACCTTTAGATGTTAAAGTGCTTCTAATGTTAATGAAAAATAAAAGGTGATAAAGAAAGGAACTAATTCAGAAATTTTTACAACTTATGGACTAGCCTTTTGAATAAGTTCTCAATAATGAGAGGTCATTTTGGTCAATAACAATAATATAAACATTGTCAGGTTATAGTTATATCTGGGGAGACTGGTTGTGGCAAGACCACTCAGCTTCCTCAGTATATACTGGAATCAGAAATAGAATCTGGCCGTGGAGCATTTTGCAGCATAATTTGCACACAACCTCGAAGAATATCTGCTATGGCTGTTGCAGAAAGAGTGTCTTCAGAGAGGGGAGAACCTCTTGGTGAAACTGTGAGCCTTCTCTTTCTCAATAAACAAACACTTGAAGACCCAAATTTTTCATAGATATCTCTGTTAAAATAATAGCTCTCGTTTAATTTTTTTTTTCATTCTTTTATCCTGCTGCTATTATCCCAACAGATATTTTTTGGTAGGTTGGCTATAAAGTGCGATTAGAGGGCATGAAAGGGAAAAATACTCATCTTCTATTTTGTACAAGTGGCATTTTACTTAGACGGCTGTTAGGTGACCACAATTTAAATGGCATAACACATGTTTTTGTGGATGAAATTCATGAGCGTGGCATGAATGAAGGTGCACATTCTTCTGAATTCTCTTGTCTTTCGACAAAAGCTTTTTGGTGGTTCTTTCTTTGGTTCCTTCTTCTGAATTTTTTTCTTTTACAGATTTCCTATTGATTGTGCTGAAGGATCTCCTTCCTCGCCGTCCAGATCTGAGATTGATTTTAATGAGTGCAACTTTGAATGCTGAGCTGTTCTCCAGTTATTTTGGGGGAGCACTGACAATTCACATTCCCGTAAGTTAGAAGTCCCTTTTTTTTCCTAAGCAAATCTTGGTTGTACTGGAATCAAAGGTTTATGCAATCTGTGATATGGCAAGCATTTCATCATTGTACTTTAATGTTCTCTAGCGTGATATGGTTGGAATAAAACTAGAGAATCTCTTAGACCTATACCTCATTTCCAGTTTTTGTGGGATAGACTGATATTTCTAGCCTCCTTATGGGTGAAACCTCATGGAAAATTTCCTGATGTCTATATCAGAGTTACATGTGAATTGGGAGGTAACTGTACAAATATTTTGGGTGGGTATGCTAGTTACCGTATCTTGATTTGGAGCCTTTCATTTTGAAAGTTTTAGGAGGATATCTTATTCTCTGTCCTTGTACTTCACACGGTCTTGTCTTTCTAATACTTCTCTTCTAAAGAAATGTCTTCTAGTGTTTTGCAAATATTTGTCAAGATCTGAACTGTGGGTTAAATTTAACCATTGTGTTATAAGATTTCCGTGTCATTTTTTTCCGTTAATTCGTTATTATTCAGGGCTTTACACATCCTGTGAGGGCACATTTTTTAGAAGATGTGGTGGAGATGACTGGGTATAAGTTGACTTCTTTCAACCAAATTGATGATTATGGGCAAGAGAAGATGTGGAAAACACAGAGGCAGCTGGCGCCGCGAAAAAGGAAAAACCAGATCACTGCTCTTGTTGAGGTGTGGCACTGCCCTAAATTAGCAATCATCTACATATTCCTGCAATATTAGGAATATAAAGTTCAATTAGATGCAAGAAATCGACTTTCTTGAGATATTTAAGTTGGCTTCCATTTTAAATTGTTTGCAGATTTTATTGAGTGATTTTTATTTCTTTCTCATTCCTCCCCCACTGCTTGTTAGCATTAATAACTCCGCTCGCTATTCTGTTTTCAGTGTTTTAGTTTGAATTTGTTGTTTTGTTGGTAGTGAATATACTTATGTAACACTCAAATTAAAGTAGAAGCAAGAACAAAGATGGAATACAGAATTAAATGTGGTTTTAGGAGAATTTAATGTCTTTTTCTCTATAAAAAAAGAGAAATTTTTCATGTTCATGCTTTAGATTGTCTTACAAGTTGTTTGGGTTAGCAGATATCAATATTTTATTTGAAACATGATAGCGAAAGCATCTATATAAGTTGCTGTCTAATAGGTAGCGGCTATTTGGAATGTAAGGTTTCTCATACAGATCTTTTTGTTATTGTACAGGATGCTCTCAGTAAATCAAGCTTTGAGAATTACAGCTCCAGGGCACGTGATTCCCTAGCATGTTGGATGCCTGATACCATAGGATTTAATCTTATTGAAGCAGTTCTTTGTCATATATGTCGAAAGGAACGGCCAGGTGCTGTGTTAGTGTTCATGACTGGTTGGGAGGATATTAGCTGTTTGAGGGATCAACTCAAAGCTCATCCCCTTCTTGGTGACCCCAACAGAGTTCTGCTTCTAACATGCCATGGTTCAATGGCGACATCAGAACAGGTAGGATCAATTCTCTCTATATGCTTTAATATATGACCTAGTAATATCTTAAGTTTGTTTCATGTTCTCTTAATCTTTCAAATAAAGGATATTAGAGACTAGGTTTTCAAGGGATCATCTACAAGATTTTAATTTTTTAAACTTCCATTTAAATTTTATAATCGTCATCGGATGAAATAAGAGTCCCACATGTTAGAATATAAATTGAAAAAACTGTGTTCTTTCTCCACAACTTAAAACTTCTGGATAATCAGTCACCAAAAACTTAATTATTTCACCTAGTATCAGACTACAACATAAGCTTTGGGGTTAATATACCTCCCAGTTTAGTTTTTTCATAGATTGAATAATATATCTCACTGCATTTCGAGACTTTTTCATGGAATGATGAAACTATAGGCAAAATTACATTGTTTGTTCTGTATATTGGAATAGCTAAATTTTATTAAATGCTGGGATTTCCATAAATGCTTGTAACTCTTTCTCTTCCTTTAGGATAGATTAGTGCTTTTGGCTTCTCCATAGGCCAAGGCACTTGAGTGTTTTCTTTTCTCATTTTTTAAGGTAAATTACCAAATTAGTTCCTGAAATGTGACATTTATTATAGCTTAATCCATAATGTTTTTCCGTTACAATTTAATTCCCAACATTTTGCATATGTTTCAAAAGTTCAATTTCCATCAATTTTCTGATAAAAAAATTATAATGGTCAGGCCATATTTGGAGGTTTTAAAGGACGACCTATTTTAAATTTTAAAGTAATTAAAAAATTAAGAAATTAAAAAAAACAGCTCATGTTTAATCAAAATGAGCTATTTCGTAAAAATGATATTTTAAATTACTTGAAAGCCTCCAAACATGTTCTAAGTATTTTATATTTTTCCATGACAAAATGAGCTTTTTCAAAAAAAAAAAAAAAAAACTTTTGATTTTTTAAATTACTTTAAAATTTAAAACAATCTGTTTTTGAAAATCTCTAAACATTTCCTAATTTTTTTTTTTTTTTTCTGTTATGAAATGGATGAGAATTGGACTTTTGAAACAAATACAAAATGTTGGAACCAAATTATAACAAAACAACGTTAAGTGGTTAAATGTAATAATTGTCAAATTTCAGGAATTAATTTGATAATTTGCCCTTTAAAGAAAATCTTTTGGGGTTGGGGGTTCTTTGTTCGCTATTACGAAGCAATTGGGTTGCTATTTGCATTGATATCATTCTAAACAGTTCATTTTCTTTATCTCATTATACATTTTTCTCTCAAATTCCAATGAATATGATATTTTTTGTTATGTATATGCATTTTGTTGAGGCATACAAATCTAGGGTCATGTAATTCAGTATCTGCTTGCATTGTGTTTTGCAGAAACTCATATTTGAGAGGCCACCTCCAAATATACGCAAAATAGTTCTGGCTACAAATATGGCAGAGGCGAGCATTACAATTAACGATATAGTTTTTGTTGTTGATTGTGGAAAAGCTAAAGAGACCACTTATGATGCTTTAAATAATACACCTTGTCTGCTCCCTTCATGGGTATCACAAGCATCTGCTCGGCAAGTAAGTCTCTTTTCTGTTGAGCATGTTTAGCTTCAGTCAGAAGTTCTAATTTTCAATTGAGCATACTGTTAAATTTATCTGGTGCTGCAGCATTTTATTGACTTTCTTTCCTTTCGAAAAAGACCCATTACTCCTTCATGGTTGTAAGAGTTAATAATTGCCTTCGTTGGGTTTAGTAATTGCCTTATCTGGACATGTAGCATGGGGCATACATATCAGGCATCTTCTTGTGATGTTCCTCCACGCTTGTAATTTTATTTTATTTTTTGAAATAAAGCACGCTTGTGATTTATTGTCCTAGATTGCTTTTGTTTCATGCGAACATGTTTTCCTCATGTTTCTTTGTTTCTATCATATATATACTTCTCAAGCATTTGATGCTTTTGTAACACCATGTCATGGCCAGTATTCTGTGTGCGTGTGTGTGTTTCTTTTCCTTTTTGAAGAAAAAATTAGTGTAATATCTATAAGCACCAAGAGGGTGCAACTCCTTTTGGCAAAACTTTACAAATCAGTCAAAAAGTCAACCAAAGCTCCAAGATCCTCGTAGGTATAGAGAGGATAATCCTTTAACAAAAAATTTAAGGTTTGGAACCATAAATCTTTGAACCTATCAAAAGAAAATTATATGCCCTGAAAACTCTTTTATTCATTTTCTTTCAAACAACATATAAAGTGGCAAGAGGAATCAGACCCACCCTTACTATAACATTTATTCCCTCTGATGCCATTTTGGACCGAAATCTCCTCTCCAACTGAACTAGCCATTACCTAATGGAGTCCCTAGAAGACTGTAAGCCATAGACCACAGTTGATATGGAAAAGGACGCCAAAGAAGAAGGTGGTTTGTCATGGGCAGCATTATAAGACATTTTACGAAATCTTTAGATGTAAATGATATGTGCTACTTATTCTTCTGTTGGATCTTATGTTGTCTTTTACAAGTCCTTGCATCTTGGATTCATGTCACTGACTGCTAATTGGGTGGCAGAGGAGGGGCAGAGCTGGCCGTGTGCAGCCTGGTGAATGTTACCATCTGTATCCCAAATGTGTTTATGCAGCTTTCACTGAATACCAACTTCCTGAGCTTCTGAGAACTCCTTTGAACTCTCTTTGCCTGCAAATTAAAAGTTTGCAGGTTAAAAGCATTGGAGAATTCTTGTCAGCAGCGCTGCAGCCACCAGAACCCTTGGCTGTGAGTAATGTTATGAATTTCTCAAGTCTAGATCTAGATCTCTTTTCCACTTGATATCTCAAAGTTTGCCTCATTTTAATCCATTTGTTTCAACTTCTCTTGTAGGCTCATGCTTAGTTAAGCACTTGCTCGAATAAGCACAAAAACTTCTCCCCTTAGGATGCATTTGGCTAGGCTTTTGGTTTTGGCTTTTGTGTTTCAAAAGTACTTTTGCAACCAAAACTAAAATATGTTTGTAACAGGTTTATATACAAAAGGTACAATACGTAGTTTTTAGACAATAGTTTTGACTTTTATTAAAAATTGATACTCGAGATTTTGAAAATCATTTTTACCAAAGACAGTTTCTGTCTTGTTTAAATGACAACACTTCCCACATATATTTCTACTAAACACCAAACAATTTTTTACTAAAAGCTTTTAGTGAACAATTATATTAACAGCACTTTTACAACTCACAACATAACCTATAGCCATCCCAAATGCATTACTTTATTTTAAATAAAAAGTGTTTTACTATTTCACACAAGTTTTACTACCTTAAATAACTCCTGCTGTAGCTAAAAACAGCAAGAAGCACTGAAGCAGTGCTGTAAACAAATAAGTGTTTTACTATTTCACACAAGTTTTGCTACCTTAAATAACTCCTGCTGTAGCTAAAAACAGCAAGAGGCACTGAAGCAGTGCTGTAAACATCAAAATGTTTGACCTGAATAGAATTTGTTTCACAAGCAGTTTTTCCATTGCACAACTTGAGAGCTTAGTGGATGACAGGTCCAAAATGCTGTGGATTTTTTGAAAATGATCGGGGCACTAGATGAGGAGGAAAATCTGACAAATCTTGGTTAGTCTGCCAGTTCTTTTTGTGGAGATTGTATTCTAGAATGATTTATTATTTATTGCCTGGTTCTAACTTCTGCCTCTTTCTTTTGGTGTATTTTCTTTCCACAGGGAAATTCTTGTCAATGCTTCCAGTAGATCCCAAGTTGGGGAAAATGCTGATCATGGGTGCTATCTTCCGCTGCTTTGATCCTATATTAACTATAGTGTCTGGGCTCAGTGTCAGAGATCCTTTTCTTTTACCTCAAGACAAAAAGGACGTAAGTAGAAGGCACACTTCCTTGATAATGCATCAGAATACAGTCTTCATATCTGAAAGTTACCCATTTTTCCTAGCATGCCTCTGGAATATGATTATGGTTTTTGCTTGACTATCATTTCATCTATACTCATGGCCAAGTAATATCATATTTTCAGGATAAGGTTGATAGGCCGAAACACATAATATTCATTTTAGTAAGACATCCTTCCATCACAAGAATTAAAACAAAAGAAAAGAAAGAACTCGAAATTCCTTATGAGTTTCAATGCCTTCTGCATGTTTCTTGCATAAATTAAATCCAGCATTGAAATTTGGACAACTTGGTAAATCCAACAGACTCAAGTACAGTAGATCATCCAAGTTTACTCAATATGAATGGTGCTTTGTGAATTCCTGTGCAGGTTAACTTCAATTCATGAAAATTACATGTTCCCAATTTTGTTTTTCAGCAATAGATCTTTTTTACAGAGTTGGGAAGCTTGGAATTGAATCGTGTTGGTTAAGTTATTATTGGTCATAGTTAAACTTATCGTAGGTCGCAGAGGTCATTCAAAATCCGCTCACTTTTATGGTTCTCACAGTTAGCATCTTACCTGCAACTTTTTATACATATCATAAATAGGACATTCTGGAAAAGAAATTGAGGTAACTACAGAGAATATTGTGGCACATGAAGGACTACTTTTAAGGGAAAATACTACTTTACTGACAATGACAATGACAATGACAAATTCTAAGAAATATACGAGTCTTCATATCTCTATATCTCCTTATTATTAATGAGACTAATTCTATAGACCTCATTAATATGATGGAACTAGGTTGACTTTTTTGGCTACCTTATGGCTAAAGCTCACTGGAAAGTATTCTGATCATGGTCTTACTGACCTTCATTGAAATTGAGAGACAATCATTTTATCTCCCAGAAGATGATCCTTTTCATTGACCTGTATTGCTTTTGATTATCCCTTGGTTTTCCTTTTCTTTTTTCTATCAGGAGAGGACGATTTGTTCTCTCTGATTGTATTGTTCTCTTTGTTTTCTTGATAAACTTCTATAAAAAAAAGGGCTATTTGTATATCTTTCGTAGATAGGTAACACCCTATTGGTGTCTCGTTTATGAATTTTTTGTCCTCTTTTCTTAAAAAAATACCCTATCATATGCAAAGGGAGTGGGGGGAAAAAAGAACTGAGCCATGTAACTTGCGCAAGCTTCAGTTTGAGGAGAGGAGAAATGTTACAATACAGAAAATAATAGGGCGTGGGACCCATGGAGCAAAAGAAAGAAGTTTGAGCCTAATAGGAAGTTGATTTCTTTAAGTAACTAATAAGAGTTAGAATTATTTAAAGATTTGTATTAATTATTTAGATTTAGATCTAGATTAGAAAGTTGGAGTAGAACTAGGGTTAGGACTCCTAGAACTATAATTAGATTTAGATTAAGACTTGGAATAAAATAGGACTATGATTCCTAGAATAGTAATAGAGCTCTAATTCAATTGGGTTCCTATAAGTATATCTATTATCATAAATAAAATTATCAAGCTATTAATTCAAAGAGTTTATCTCTAAAAGATTGGAAGTTCTCTTAGACGAGTCTCAATGTAAGCTGGCAAAGCTAGAAAACTAGGAAGCAAGAAGCTCACTTGTTCTAGGATTTCACATAGTAGGCCCCATGATAAGATCCAGAGCGTGAGACTCTATCAGACAAGTTGGAATTCGCCTTGTAGTTTGATTTTAATATTTTTTTGGTCTCAAGCTTAGCTTTTTAGAGAGAGCTCAAATTGGAGTTCGAGCTCGAATAAGTTTGAACAATATGGAACTGTGCGCAATAAACTCGATAGAGAGTTTGTTTGAGATCCTATTTACTTAACTTTATTTAAAACTTTTATAAATATATTAAATATCTAATTAGAATGCAATATCTCTAGATATGTAGTATATTACATATTTTATTAAAATGTATTTAATCTAATAATAGGAAACAAGAACGTGTTTAGCTCACGACCGAATAACTTTAGAAGTTGTTTAGCCAAATGAACCTTTTCTTCAGGCTCACGGATTCAAGTGTGAGTTTGACTGACGTTGAATGAACTTTGACTAATTCGAGTACGAATCATTCATGAACATGTTTGGTCATTACCTCCCTTATGCAAAATATATGTATTCACCCAGAAGTAATGTTTGCTTTTTAATGGAAGTTACAATTTCACCTTGCATACAGTAAGTGATGAAAAATGTCAGTTAAACGTATAGGGTGCTCATTGCAATAGCTTAAAAGTATAGGACAAAATGTCTAATGTAAAAATATAGAGTTCTAAGTGAGATAACTTAAAAATTACAAAGTGGTTGCATCATGTGCTTTTACCAGAGTTCATTGACTCTTTTTATTCTAACTTTTAGCTGAAAATTGGATGAACTGAAAAAAAGAAAAAAGAAAAGAAAAATTGCTTTGAAATTTGCATTGAGGGAATAATGGGGTGATGGGAGCTAACACAATGCTTTTGTATTGTTGCAAGTTTTCAGCAATTGGTTATGCCAAAGGATGATTTTTTAAAACGTCTTACTTCATTGTGAATACCCCTGCCTTATAAACCCTAAGTGCTACTTCTAGTTTACGCCAGGATGGTCATAATTTCATAGATCTGTCAAATGGATTGCTTTTAAGTGAGAAAACAAATGTTTGAATCTTTTCTGAATTACTAGTCTAGAAGATATGAGATCGGTTCATTTAGTGTTTTCATTTTTATTTTTTATTTCTTCTGAGAGCTTAACATTTGGTTTGATCAATGTAATTAACTTCTCGGCTAGTCAGTATGACTTCTTGAATAAGCTTCAACTCTCAAGTTACATACTGAACTTCTTGAATGAAACAAGTCATTTTTTCTCATTTTGGATGAACAATTAGGTTATGTTTGGAAAACATGAACTATTTTTGTGAAATTCATTTAGGAATAGTAGAATTGAGAATATTTTCTAAATTTTGCTAGATTTGATGGAATTGTGAAAACATTATTTTGATTGCATTTGGAATTTTCTGAGATGTCAATTTTCATCATATTGGATGAATTCATCCTCTCTTAGTTAAACTATATGTGATTTTTCAAATAGATTCCTCAAACGAACTTTATTTATTCCAAACATAGTCTTAGTGTATTCATTCCTTTTAACTCAAATAAGAGTTAGACATGTCCAACTCATATTTCGACACTTTAACTGTAGTTTAATTTTCTTTAGGGATTCTCCCAAAATTATTTGGGAAAAACATATGAAATGTTGTTTATAATGTCATTCATGTGGTTGTTGGATTTATTGGAGACCTAAGGCATTATGGTTCTACCAGTGTATTTTGTTTTTCTTGATGATGGTTACAGTGCCTGTGGTGTTACCCCTTCAGCCATGCAATTCTTTATTATTCATATTTAGAATCTAGAGATAAACAATCTCATCATTCAAATTGACCTAGACCATAACCTTCATCCATAGTTCTCCAAATACATGTCTTATTTTTTGTATCACTCTCTATACTAAGATATACCAGAAGACTGACTCATATTATTTGTTGAACATAATTCATGAACCTAGTTACCATTGGGAATTATCAGGAACCCATTTAGGGTGAGATAAAAGGAAAGATAAGTTAGGATATTTACACAAAAAGACAAAATAATAAGAAAACTAGGGTTAGGATTTGTCAATCCTGATCAGCTCCTCAATCCCGCAACTGAGGCCTCAGCCATCCTCATCTCATTCCATAGTGGACGCTGTGCTCACCACATTGTGTAGTTTCGACAATTGATTCCGCCAACAATAACATTTCTTTTATTGCATTTAGGCCTATAAATGGGCATCTTCCATCATTTGTAAGGGAATGGAAATTAATTAATAAAAATACTGTTTTTCCTCTCTTCAACATTCTTCATCTTCTCTATTCTTCTTCTTCCCTATTTTCTCTTCAGATCAGACCTATGTCTAAGGTGTCTGACAAGATGGTATCAGAACCCAAACCGGCGGAATTCTACGCCGGGGTCACACCCGACACTCGGTCCAAAGGGAAGGCAGTGGCGGTCGAGCTGGAGAAACCTGAAACGATCGAACTCCTCGTGAAGGACGTCAATCGAAAACTCACCTCCTTCATGGAAGAAATGTACAAGATGAAGCGCGAATTTCAGCATTAGTTCGAGTACCTGATAGAGCTGATACGCAGTCAAGCGCCGCACCAGGAGAAACCCAGAGAAGGCTCCGCGCATTTGACAGCCAAAACTCGCAAGGCAGATAATCCGCTTCTCCTTTCGATCAACGTGAACGGGCTGGGGGCTCTGACATCCTTGAAAGACCAGCCGAAGCCAACGGATCCGCATGGAGAGAGAAGTCTGCTTTCTCTCTTGAGCAGCGGCCATCTCCATGCTGCTCTCTTGAACGGCACGCACGACGCAGAAGGGTTTCAACCCTTATTTAAGCTTGGTTCACTGGACCGAATTGGACCAGTGGAGGAAGTGGACTGACCCGATCCGATTCGATCCGGCCTGGACTGGTCCGACCCGACCCGGTTTGAACCGAACCGGCCCAATGGATCCTATGCCCAGAAACGTTTCTGCCCAATTTGTTTTACTTCCCAAGGTGGAGATTCCATTTTCCGAATGAATAAACCCCATGGGTAGATTCGAAGGTGAGAAATATTTTATGATCTACAATATTCCTAAAGAGCAGAAGGTGGCGATTGCATCATTGTACTTAAGAGAAGTTGCCGATATATGGTACTGTGGATGGCAAGCCAAAATTAATGTCATAAGTTGGGAATATTTTGTGGAAGAACTCTGTCGTAGATTTGGGGACCATCGCGAAAGGATTTTATCGAGGAATTTACCAAACTATTCCAAATAGGTACTGTTCTCGATTATTTAAAAAAATTTGAACACTTATGCTCTCTTATGGACGCAGATAATCGAACACTTTCAGAAAGATTTTTCATATCCACCTTTATTAGTGGTTTTAGACTACAGTTACAACCCATGCTAAGACTCCTCAAACTGCAAACGCTTAATCAAACATTCGAACAGGCCTTACTACAGAAACAATCTATCATAGAATTGGCCCGAAATTTATATCATACCGATAAAGTTATTAAACTCGCAGAAGTATCTGAAATAAGAAATAATGATCAACCGCTTCGAAAGGATATGGAACGTAGAAGAGCAACAGCTACCTGCTACAAGTGTGGAGACCAGTATTTTCCAGGATACTATTGTACAAATAAATCCGTAATGGTCATTAAGGAAATTGTCATGGGAGAGTCTCTGGAAGAAAAGGTTTTCCCAAATCAACCTTGAGAACAAGGTTGATATTCAAGGGGAGGGTATTGTCAGAAACCCATTTAGGGTGAAATAAAAGGAATGGTAAGTTAGAAAATTCACCTAAAAAGACAAAATAATAAGAAAATTAGGGTTAGGGTTTGTCAACCTTGATTAGCTCATTAATCCCGCAGCCGGCACCTCAGCTATCCTCATCTCATTCTGCAGTGGACACTATGCTCACCACATTGCGCAATTCTGACAAGTTGATTCCGCCAACAAGAACGTTTCCTTTGTTGATTTAGGCCTATAAATGGCCATCTTCCATCATTTGTAAAGGGAATGGAAATTAATCAATAAAAATACTATGTTTTCCCTCTCTTCAATATTCTTCATCTTCTTCTTAGTTCTTCTTCTACCTTATTTTCCCTTCAGACTAGACCCATATCTAAGGGGTCTGGCAGGAACATATCATAAATATCTATGAATAGAATAATTTTATCTTTGTTTCTTTCTCTTGTTTGAACCAAGTTATGAATATAATATTATTTTTTGCTTTAGAGTGAAAGGAGTAGGGAAAAAGTTGTTAATAATAGATTACCCAGAGAAATAGGTAAAAAAAATTTCCATCCAAGAGTATTAATTCTTGTTACCTCTTTCTTGCTTTAACAGGAGGACCTATTATCCTTTGTTGATGTATTTGTTTGTTTTTCTCTCGAATAACACATATTTTCTTATTTCAAAATCTTATATTGCTTGGTGCCAGAAAGGAATTTCAGATTTCCTTCACATACATCATTTCTTATTTGTTCCTTCTGGTTCAGTTAGCTGGGACGGCAAAGTCTAGGTTCTGTGCAAAAGACTACAGTGACCATATGGCTCTTGTCCGTGCATATGAAGGGTGGAAAGATGCAGAAAGAGAAGGATCAGCATATGAATATTGTTGGAGGAATTTCCTGTCTGCACAGACACTTCAGGCCATCCATTCTCTTAGGAAGCAGTTTAGCTTCATTTTGAGAGAAGCTGGTTTAGTAGATGCAGATGCAGGCATTGAGAACAGATTGAGTCACAACCAATCTCTTGTTCGTGCCATCATATGTTCTGGCCTTTTTCCTGGAATAGCATCTGTAGTGGTAAGATATCTTTTTCTTTTTTTTCCGAAAGCATATTCTAGCATTGCATTTCAAAAACCAGGTTTAATATGTTGGTCTCTTCTTATGTGTAGCACAGAGAAACTTCCATGTCTTTCAAAACAATGGATGATGGCCAAGTATTACTATACGCAGTAAGTGCAGTGCAGGCATAACTTTGTCCAATCAAAGCTGGACTTATCCCTTGTTCTCACATTTTTTATTGCAATTAATTCTTTACATTTATCTTTGGATAGATACTTGCTAAATATTTCCTAGTATCTCTTCAATCATCTGAGGTAGTGCTTCTGGTTCAGAATTCTGTCAATGCGCGTTATCAAACTATTCCTTATCCTTGGCTGGTGTTTGGAGAGAAAGTTAAAGTTAACACAGTTTTCATACGTGATTCTAGCGGTGTATCTGATTCAATACTGATCCTTTTTGGCGGTGCTCTAAGCTGTGGCTTACAGGTGGTTTACTCCTTCAGAACTATTTGCGGCCTTTTATTTCCAATTCCCAAAGAGATCAATACGAAGTTAATTTCAACTAGTGATGTGACTGTTTTCAGGCTGGGCATTTAAAAATGCTAAATGGGTATATTGATTTCTTCATGGATCCAAGCTTGGCAGAGTGCTATTTGAAGCTTAGGGAAGAACTTGATAAACTTCTTCAGAAGAAGGTGAGTAATCCAGCCCATTTTGTAATTCCCTCTTTATATACTAATTCATGCAGATCTCCCCATTCTTTTGTCTTCCAAATTTAGGGTTTAGGTTATGAAAGTGAATATCATTCTTCTAATGTTGTGCTCTCTCTCTCTTTTTATCACTAATGTTACCTCGAGTTTTAAACTTGCTGAAACCAGTTTCTCCAATGAGGGAGACCTGCTTATCCTCATTCTGCATCACCATGTGAGGGTTGTCACTTTCTACAAAAAACTGGTAGGAAACTACCAGAGACAAACAAGGTTCTGTTGAACAATGTTATGTTTAGATTGCGGCTTGTGTGTAATACTGTTATACAGTCTGTCATGTCCTATATAATCTACCAATGTTCTTGGTCTAGCTTTATACAAAAAGCACCAGAACCCTTTCTTCTGAATGTAAGTCATCTTAGCCTTGTGGTAATGCAGCTTGAAAATGCTAACGTCGACATTCACAAGGAAGGGAAGTACCTTATGCTTGCTGTTCAGGAGTTGGTATCGGGTGATCAATGTGAAGGGAGATTTGTTTTTGGTCGTCAGAGCAAGAAACCTCAGGATATCTGTGAGAAGGATAGGTTTACAAAAGATGGAACAAATCCTAAGAGCTTGCTGCAAACTCTGCTGATGAGAGCAGGGCACTCTCCTCCAAAATACAAAGTGAAGCACCTTAAGACGAATGAATTCAGGGCACTGGTAGAATTTAAAGGAATGCAATTCGTGGGAAAACCGAAAAGAAACAAGCAGCTTGCAGAGAGGGATGCTGCTATAGAGGCACTGGCATGGTTGACGCATACAACTGACAACAGCAGAGGTGACGATGATGATTCCCCTCCCGATGTTACCGACAACATGCTTAAACTTCTTGGAAAACGTCGAAGATCCAAAAGAAACTTGGGTTAATATTAAATCCATCTACATGCCTTTTCCCATTGACAGTCTGATAAAATGACTAGCTAATCTATCTGTGTCAGCTACCAGCGCAAAGATGATATGATTTCAGCACAGGTAGTAAAAAGAGAAATATATAGCTGGGGTGATGCATAAAATGGAAAACCATTCTGATCCTGCATAACATTTAGCCACTCGTGGGTTCACTATAACAGCAAGTGGCCCCAGGGATGTGTACAAAGTGCTAATAAGAAGCACCTGGCAGAGAAGAGTAGGCTTGTCTACGCAGGTCCGTTTTTACTTGCCTCATATTTAGGTTATTTATTGTTCTCTAGTGCATGAGTTAGATTTCTCTCCTAAAAGATTTAAGGAAATTTATGCTTCTTGCCATAAGATTGAAGATATACCAGTTGGCACACAGGTCATTCTTTTGTACTTGGTAGTCATCTAGGCACATAAAATATGATTAGTTTCGAATGTATACAGGGGTTTGATTGCTCCTTATGTTAGATTAATGTATATTTAGATACCTGTCCATGTGTTGCATGAACTGTTTTAAGATAATACCAAATAATTATAATGTTTCACATGAATTATACTATTTATCTTTTATGCTGAAAGTTTCTTTTTTTTAAAAAAAATATATTGATAAGTATTCATGATTGGCCATTTTATTAGATTAGTAATTTAGCAGTGGCATTCTGAAATTGAAGTTTTATACACATTTGAGCGAAGTCACGTTTTTTGTTTTTCTTAATAGTGTCTTGTTATCAGATCAAAGATTTTGCAGAAGAAAATAAGAACTTGTGCAACTTACAGAAGGCATTGATTTGTTAATTTATATGCCTTTGATTAAAGCCAGAGAAGGTTCCATTTCAAATGAAAGTAAGTAAATTTAAACTATGTTTAGAATAAATTTAAAAATTTTGTAAAATTTATTTCAAAATTTTATATTTTTTACTTAAAAGATAATTACATTTAAAAAATAGTAACAATTAATCTTATAATTTTGGAATTTAGCAAAAGTATGTTGAAATTCTTTGCAGTGTGTAAAGGGAAATGCACTTCAAGGAATACAAAATGCTCTTAAAAAAAAATTTGTATACTGGTCAGTAATTAAATATTTATGCATTTATTTAAAAAAAGGATAAATTATAATTATAATTTTTGAATTATAAAACTTTGTTACAATCACGTTTCAAAAGTTTGTTTATTATAATTTAGTCTCTAAAATTATAAAAAAATTTCAAAACATAATTTTTTTTATATTTTTTTACAACAATAATAAAGATTATTTTAATATGCTTTCGATAGTGCAAAAAAAAAACTTTAAAAATAAGACATTTAATTCTAGAATTATAGCTCGTATATGATTTGGATGTAAAAATATTTTGTATTATAATTAAGTCATTAATCTTATATATTTATTTTGAAAAATATTTTTCTAACATCTTCGAAGTACTAGCAAAAAGATAAATTATTATATATGGATAATTCTCTCACATGTTTGCATTTAAAAAAAAAAAATCTCTCACGTTTAAATTGAGATCTATGAATTACGTCACCAACCCTTATATGAAAAACACATAATAAAATGAAATTCTAATTTTTCTTGAATATGGTGGTGCCCAAAATATAGGGTAATTTTTATAGGAAATATTATTAAATCTGAATTTAAATAAATATAGAATACTAATATTAAATTATTGAGATCTAATTTAAATTATCCGAATTTATGGTAAAAGAGAATAACACGTTC